GAAGAGTCAAAACTGCTGCAAAGAAACGTAAATTTTGCCGACCGAGCAATTTAGTTCAATTTTCCGTATCCGAAAACGCATACAAAAAACTCCTACAGTTATCATCAATTTTCGTATCCGGAAAACGTTCGAAACACGTTTATTTGCTCAAGCTAAACATTTGAAAGCATGCATGCGTAGTCGGCAGTGGCTGAGTGTGCAGAGGAGTGTGCCGCTATTTGTTAGCTTCCAGAAGGTACCGCGTTCGAATTCCGTCAGGCGCTTCCTAATTTTATTGTATTTCTTTTGAACCATGAAAAAGTATCTGTGAAGTGCAGAAGGAAAGCGTATTGAACGAAAAATTCAATTAGACATATTTCAGAAAAAAAAACCGGAAACGTATCCTTTTCACCACCATTTCGGTACTTTTCTGTACATACGCAGGGTTTGAAAAACTGTCAGCACAGCAGCAACAGCACTACTATTTTTGCTTTTGCTTCGCTTTGAAATTTTTGATTTTCATTCAAACTGATTTGCTTTCGCTGTGACTTTGAAAATTTTATTTTGCTTTTTTGTCGGCAGTTTATTGAAAACAATTTAGTAAATTGAATTTACTGCTTTTGATTTGCTGTGATAGCACTTTTCTTGTGCTGTGATTTACAGCATGGTGTATTATCGCTGACTCGCCAGGAGTGAGTACACACAAAATTTGCAGTATCAATTCCTTTGCCTTGACCTTTCGCTAGCGATTATCTGGTGTGAAATTGGCGATTACCAATCGCTAGCGAATTGCCTAACAATCGCTAATGCATCGTCGTAGTTAGCTTATGGTCGCCTCTTGTCGCCAGTACAACTAAAGGGTAGTGCTTTTGTGCATGCATACATATTTCTGCCAATTTGATGTTTCACGGTCAAGTGATAGTCGAATTGCTGTTGCTTTGCTGCCGCTGCGCTGTCGTTGTGCTTTCACATATTGTTTTTTAACTGTCTGGTTGCTTTCGAAATTTTACAGCAAAACGACAGCCAAAGCATTTGCTTTTTTCCGAATTGCTGTTGCTTTGCTTTCGATATCACACATGCCGAAGTCAAAGCACAGCAAAAGTAAATCAAATGAAAAAATTACAGCATTTTCAAACCCTGTACATACGTTTCTGCCGCACACGGGAAAACCGATAATTAAAGTATCCGGAAATGGAATCAGTAAACGTACAAAAATCCGGTTTTCATCGACTTCTTACCGTTTTCGGAACGGTTTTCGGATTTTTTGCTGGCTGGGTCAACTTCAGAAGAACGCTGTTTACGTGAACAAAACATAGTTGTATGTATAGTTGTATTGTATCTACCTGGGTATATATTTGTAGACTCTTGTATACACAAAAATAAAGTAAAAAAAAGGTTGCGAAGGCCTACTATTAAATTACTTATTTTATTTTCTGTTCAAAAATTGCGAAAATATGATAACTGAGCTAAAAGCATTTCGAAATTTGACGAAAATTTTCGAAGTTATTAACGAATGGAAATCCAAATATCTACACGGGTAGATACTATGAAAGCGAAGGTTAAAATAAAAATCAAAAATTTTTATTATATTTACGACTTGATAAAGGTGAAACGTCTTGTAAACGAGAAGGCAGTGGGGCAGTCTAAGATGTGTTTTCGTGCTTTGGAATAATTGTGTTAGAATTATAAGCATCGAAAATAATGAAACATTCATATAAAAAAGCAGCTTTTCAATATCTATCGCATGTTCGTGGACCTTTTTCCATACTCCTATAAAATGCATTTAAAACTTTTTGGAAATGGTTTTACGGTTGCCTTATGGATTAAAAGTAAGTTGCTTAAATTAGTGAGAGAGGAATTACCGCCAAATATATACAGGGGCGGCGAAACGCCCTGGGCCCGGGTGGGTAGTTCTGTTGGCGGCAAGAGTATACAGGTAAAGACAAGTAATTTTTAGCAAAAAAAACCGACTTCAACTCTCATATAAATAAAAAAATATATATATATATCTCATGATCCGCTGATCGGATCTGAACCAGATTAGTATGGGACCACCTCTGAGAAACTACCTNAAAAAAAAAAAAAAAAAAAATATATATTCCGACGAACTGATAACCTCCTCCTTTTTTGGAAGTCGGTTAAAAATAGGTTGTTGATGTAATTGAGAAGGTTAACGGGATATGTTAGAAAAACTTATTTCTTCGTGTATATTGCATTTATTTTTCAAACACTATGGCAATTATCATTTAATCAAACTATGAAAAAAATTTAAACCCCTCTCCACGAGGGTTAATTTTGATCGAAAAAATTATATATGTATATGCATATCTAGGTAATACTACATGCATATGTGTGCACATGTAACAGAAACCGTAACTGTTATTACTTTTTGTTTTGCACAATAGACCTAAGGTCGCAGTGCACAGCCTCTAACATTCTATCTTTGCAAAATAACCAATAAATAATTGTTATTTTTTCACCGATATGTTTTCAGTAAAAAAAGCTAAATTTTGACTTTAATTTTTTGGGTCAAAAAGAAAAGTTAAAACTTGACTTTTAAACTTTTGAGTTACAATTAAAAGTTAAAAATTGACTTATTTTTTTGGAAAAATATAAAAGTTAAAACTTGGGTTTTATTTCTTCAAAGAAAAAAGTTAAAATTTGTCCTTAATTTTTTGATCAAAATAAAAGATAAAAGTTTATTGCTATTTTATTTGATTGTAACCGTTTAGGCCAAAAACGTTTTATAGCTACGTATAAATAAAATATTTGTCATTTGATATATGAGCCATTCTTTTTTATGTCGGACAGATTCCGTAAAAAAATTATGTCATGTCTCCGATTCGATTAAATTTTTTTTTATGGGTTCTATAGATGAAATAAGCTAACACGTGTTCGAGGATTTTTTTTATTTTTTTTTTCTTCGGAGATATGATCTGTCAAAGTTTGCATTTTTTCGTGATTCTGACTAATCATATACTTCTTCAAATCGTTATATCTCGGATTCTGCTAATCGTAGAGACTCCATCTTAACGCCATTTTGAAGTTAAGAAACAGTCTTAATATTTCTATATATAAGATGGTCAAGATTGTCCTAAAGCTAACTTAACTATTAACAGTTGAACTTTTTGAATATGGAAGACCAGTAAATTCGAAATTTAAAATTATACCATCGTAATCTTTGTTTAATTATCTGTGAAAAACGTCGTTAAAAAAATGGGCGATGTTCAGAACTATTTTTAAAATATTTTTCTTTATGACGATGTGGTTTATTTTGTGGGAATGAACAATTGTTTTTAATTTTTTTTTCGAAAACTTATTTTAAGATATATTTGGTAAGGTGCTAAACATCGAGTTTTTGCAAAAAGTAAAATTTTATTGCGGATTCCGATAGAATACCCATCCAGATATAATATTTGTATGCCAAGATTTTTCTTTAAGCCGTCAAACCCATTAGAAATGGGCGTGGCAATTGCAAGACCAAAATTAGCTAAACGTAAATTTTATTGCGCATTTCGGCAGAATATCGCTTCGTTATCAATATTTGTTCCATAACTTTTTCAATTCATATAGATATTCTGACGAAATCCACAATAAACTCAAAATTTTTGAAATTTGGTTTTAATATAGCCACGCCCATTTCTAGAATATTCTTTGATTGAAAAAGTTGTGGAACAATTGTTGCCAATAAAGCGATATTCTGCCGAAAGCCGCAATAAAATCTGCGTTTTGCTAATTTTAGTCTTGCAAGGTTTTTTTACTTACTGAAAACTCGTTATGACTAAGTGTAAAGGGATAACAATGTTCAGTTTTCACTAAGATATATTTTTTTTTCAGTTAAAAAATGTTGTACCTATTTATGTTATGTAAACAGCTATTTGTGATCAAAAAATAAAAGTAAAATTTTAACTGATAAAAGTCAGATTTTAATTTTTATATTTGACTTAACTTTTATATTTGACCGAAAAAATAAAAGCCAAATTTTAACTTTTATTTTTGCAAAAAAAGTGCAAACAATTTCAATCATATAGTATTAATATTCCTTGCCTAACAAGCATCACATTGCTATGTATATACCAAAGATAAATTCTTTCCGACTGACTTTTTGAATTTCGAATTCCTGATTTCAGCAGCGTGGTTCCCTAACCCTAACTGACGACGCCCCGGTGAAAAGATCCTTCGACTCCGCACCCATGGGTGGACAACGCAAGCAAGGGCGCGCACATACGCAATGGAAGGACCTAGTGCAGAAGGACCTGTCTGCGCTCGGTAAAACCAACTGGCGTAAATTTGCACAGCAGAGAAGCAATTGGAGAAGCTTTTTGGTCTCGGCCTAAACCGACAAACGGTTGTATTGCCAAATAAGAAGAAGAAATATTCCTTGACCCTGACACTGTATGTATGTTTATCGTTACCTTAATATAGAGAGGTGTTTTACCGAACGTATTTGTTTCTTTACAGACTAGTTATACATTTTTATAAAAAATAAAGTTTTAGAGTTGCGAGTTTCTTCAAAACACTGATTAAGAAACACTGAAAATAATTTATTGCTGTATATTAGGTCCTTAGTGAGAACCTGCTGATTTAAAAAAAAAAAAAATTGTGGGAACCGTATTATATTAAAATTAACGAAAAAAAAGTTTTATGGAACGGAAACACATAATTGTAAACCTTATACGATTTTACAAAGCGCCCTTTGCCAAGAAGATTTGTTTTAGGACCAAGAATTTAGCAGGTTAAGATAAAAATGTGGGTTTTCGCAGGGTAAATGGTTTTGATTCAACATCTTTTTCCCCCAATATTTTTATATAGGCCGTGATTATAAAAACCAATCACTTCAAGTCCAAAATAGAATTCTCATACATATTTTACACAGTAGCCCCAATTTGATTGTATGCTTAATTTTATTTATTTTCACTTTATTAAGTTCGAAAAAGTCAATTCTTTAATCACTGACTATTTAAATCTTAACTACATTTCTACAAATAATTTTGTGCAATAAATCGTCAAAATTTACGTACATTTCTTTATGTTTCACCCACTGAAAATTAGTTTTCTTCAAAACTTATCTGCACTCGTTGCTGTAGTTGTAGTTTTTCCTTTTAAATTTCAGTTCAACTCTGTTTCCTATTAAGCTTTGTTCACTTTCATAAAACACCTTTTTCACTTATACATGTATGTATGTATGTATGTAGCTTTGCTTACTGTTATTGCGAAAATTGCCTTTATTAAATTCACGAAACGTATTTGGAATTTTTCCAAAAGTTTTTCCGAACGTTACAAACTCAGCGGCGTACAAATACTAATCAGAACGACGAACGCGAATCAACTTTTATACGCCAGCAGCGTGAAAACGACCACAGCAGCAGTCACAGGCGCTAGAATGCACAAGAGTCGTCAATTGTGAGCCAACAACAAACAACAGCAGCAACAGCAGCAGCAGCAACAGCAGCAGCAGCAGCAACAGCCACAGTAACAGCATCGGTAGCTTGTGCGGATGAAGAATGAATGGATCGTCGAAAAAACGAGCAACATTAAACACACTTGCAGCAACAGAGGCCAATAACAGCCCAAAAGTCAGTTTGTATGAATGCATGTATGTACAATATGTACATACATACATATGTATGTATGCATTAATGATGTATTAGGTTGTATGCGCAAATCCGAAAGAAAAACAAACGATCGCCAGCCAGACAGACGCAGCGTCAATCAAAAATTTTTACTGCTACCGCTGCTGCTGCTGGGAGTCATTGGGTGGAAGCAATCACTGCTGGAGGCAGCCAGCCAGCCAGCGAACGCCAGAGCGTTTAATTAACTAATGGAGGCTCTCATTTTGCAGGCGAGTGAATTGTTTATTTTTCTTTGAATTGAATTAATTTTATTTAATTGAACAGAGTAAGGTAAAACTGCGCTTACCTCTCTTCTTTGCCGAAATTTGTTGTTGCTTGTAGTGGTGTTTGAAGCTGTGTCAGACGTCAGATCTCTGTTGTGATCGATGAGGCTTAAAAACTGGCGCATATGCTCAATCCATGACGTATGAGTATGAAAACAGAAGCATACAGTGAGCGTCTCTGTATGTATGCATGCATGCAAGTATGTACTACATATCATACATTTGCTGCAAGAGTGTCTTAATCCAAAAAAAATCAAAAACTCGAGAAAAAGAGCTTCAAAGTTTTGAATTTACATACTTACATATATCCAAAAAGTAAAAATTAATACAGCTATAAATTTTTTTTAAGATATCGAGCACTAACCGCCAAAAATATGTAAGTGACATATTTTAAAAATTTTCTTTTTGATGCAGAAATGTGCCTATAGCATCCAAGTGCATTTCTGCAGCAAAAATAAAATTTTGAAAAAAATGTCGCGTACATCTTATGGGCAGTTAGGGCTCGATATAGATGCAAAGGGAGCGGTAATTTCTGCATACTTAACTCAGTTTTTATTTTTATTTTTTTGATTTTTTTGACACTCTTGCAGCAAATGTGCGATATCGTTCCTTTGCATGAATAACGTCACATCTCAAAACACATTAAAGTGGCGAAAAACGTGTTTGAAGTTTATAGTTAACAAAAGCTCCCCGTAGTAAAAAAATGAAAACATGTTTTCTTTAACTGAGTTATTGTTAATCGATACAGCTATAACATTTTTGAACAACATAGGAAAAGTGATGGTGGGTGGTCTTGTCTATATAGCTAAACAAAAAACAATTTTTTGAGATGTGACATTATTCATGTAAAGGAGGAGGAAGTCAACAACTGATTGATAAAGTGTATAAGCACAAATCAGGTTTGCCACTGCCAAATTATCACAACACGCTCGGAGAAAACAAACATAACTGCAAGGGTAGGAGAGTGAGACGTGACGGCACTGAGCGAAAAGAGGGCAGGTTTATTTCACCAATGCTTGCATCAACACAGCAGGCTTCAAGTTTGTTTCGGAAATGTCTGATCAGGAAGGAAGAGTAACACACTTTGGCGAAAAGGTGTTATCACTTTATTTTTAAAACCCTTTTTGTTTAACTCGTAACTCGTTTTTGCAAAAGGAAAGCTGGTAGATATTTGTAAAAATTGAAATTGGCGCTAATCATTTTACGAGCGTACGAGTGTATGCATGAACAGCTGCAGGCTTGTTTGCCGTAGTTATTAATACTTTCAACTACATATATACTAAGAACATTCGTATATACATACATATGCATGTATGTATCTACATAAAAATATAAAATATTTACATTCATAGGTATATACTTTAGTTATTCGTTTACATAATTTACAAATATAAGTGTGTACATACCTACATACGTAATAAAATATTATTGTACGATCAATGTGGGCGCAGTTCCAGTGAAATGTATGTGTGCGGTCTATAGTGTGCCAGTCAAAACATTGGAAATCCCTAACAAAGTTTCTTTGCGATGTGTTATCTACACACATACACACATTCATATATAACAACATAAAAATCACACAATTACGAGGGAGTAAGGTCCATAGTGACAAGATGACGCATTCATATTACCGACACTAATCAATGGTGAGTGAGTTTTGCTTGGAACGCCGTCTATTATTTTTTACTACGAACTTTTAACGTAGGTATATATATATTCAAACTAATTTAATGATTAGTAGGTATTTCTGTTGCAAGTAATTTGATTAATTTATTTAGTAGTTGAAATGTAAATAAACCTAATCATAATTGAGTAATTAAAAAAAAAATATGGGAAAAATCAATTTAGCTTAATGAGATATATATTACTCGTATTAATTGTTTTTAAGTTTTTAATAGGGTGTTACACTGTATTATAATGCGCTTAAACCCTAATAATAATAAGAGAGAAAGATGCAGAAGGAGGATTTACCAAATAGCACGAATGGACAGAAAAGTTCTAGCTTTGAATGTAGCAACTGAAGAGGGAGGCCTGCTCTGCGATGGAAAGACCAAGTGGAGAAGGTCTTGCCTTCACTTGACAATTCCGATTGGCGTCAGTTGGCACAGAAGAGAAACGACTGGCGTGCTTTGCTGGACTCGGCAAGAATCGCGCCGATAAAGAAGAACAATCATAAGATTCGGAGGACGGTTCCGGCTGCAGAAGTCCATGTGGGAAACGTTTTTGACCGCCATTCACCTAGGAGTGGCCAAACTCGATTCTTTTCCGTTGGACCGGAAGGAGTTTACGTGTCTGCAGCTGCACTTAAGACACTGCCCAGCCCTCTCTCTATCTAAGTACTTCCAAACTAGTTCGGCAATGCAAGTCTAGACTAAAATATGATGGTGAACATAACGAGCTTACTTTACTCTGGGTGCTAGGTCACTCGGGAGTAACTGCCAACGAGACATCTGACCATTTGGCCAGAGTTGGCTCAGACCACTTCGGCCATCGAAGCCGCCATGAGAAACTCGGTGAATACTTCGCTCAGCACTGACTGAGAGGCATCGAGGGGCTGCAGACGGGCAAAACTCATGTTACCTCAGAAGGTCTATCTAGTCTTTTGCTCTCACTAAACAGACGGGACTGCAGGCCAATTGTTGGACTGTTGACTGGTCACTTCACGTGACACAAACACCGCCCTGTGATACGCGTACCTGACAACTCCATTTGCCCATTCTGCCTTGAAAAGGATGAGACGGTGGAACACTTTTTGTGCTTCTGCCCCGCCTTTGCAAGAATTAGGTATGAGACATTTGGCCGCGATGTGTTAAGAGACGAACACCGGAACTCTTTGGCACCCGACAATCTGTTTAGGTTTATGCGGAAATAGGGCAGATTTCAAACAGATTAAAATGTACATGAAAACAATACAATGGGCGGCATGTAGTCTGGGTGCTGTTTTCTGCACGTGTTGTTTTGTCCCTGGTTCCGAAAAAAAAATTGCAAACAAAATTTCAGCTTTCACAGAATGAACGCTTCTTCGTAGCAGATTTCAATATAAGCGACTGCAATAAGTAGTAATCGCACTATGATTTAGCTTTACTTTGGCTAAAGTCTGGTTTTAACTATGTCAAATTCAATGACAATTGTCCTCAAATGAGTGAAAACACATTGTCGCATAAGTCTAAAGAAAGTCTATCGATTCATTTAGATCCGAGAAGGTCTTCAGTCATGTACATGCGGCGCTTAAACGAATAGTGGTCCGTTTTTGGTCCATAATAAAATCGGTAAAGATGTGGATAAAAGCGATAGGGTTATTACAAAATATGCCATCATAATTTGACATAGAAGTATTGTACTTTAGACAATGGATGAAGAAATATAAAAAATTACATAAATTGGTATACCATCGGCACGGGTGGGACATTACAAATTTTCTTTACTTTTGAATTTTAGTATAAAGTACTCAACAATTCTTAATTTCGATAAAGCTACACCTAATGCACTAATTTTTGAGTTATTACCAAAAACGAAAAAAATTCCATTTGTACGAGAAAATTTTCAGTCGTTTCTTCTATCGGGGATGGGACGAAAAAAAGATACTGGTTTTTGGAGCAGATATGTTTTACGGAAAGTCTGTGAGTTTACGTAAAACTTCTATCTGAGTTAGAAGTTTTATTATATAGAAAATGGAACGGAGCTTCTAGTGCAGTCCATATTAAATGACTTAGTAATGATAAATGAAAGACCCCATTACAAGATCAAATGACCCACGTTTACTTTAGTGTGGTCATGTTAATATTGACGATATACTACAGCCTCAGGATCTCTAAGAGTCGCTAAGAGTCCCTTTATTAATGTAGTAAATTGTATGGGATCATGAATTATTTGCAAATATATGCAATTTTATATGGACTTCCCGAATGCACGATGTTCAGATTGTGCCTGAATGATTTGGTCTTTTATGAATGATCTTTTAGAATTGGTTTTGTGGTCCAAAGTAAGTTCTTAGAATATATTAAGGGAAATGGAGTTTTGAAGCTCTAGAAAAACACCTTAAAGTAGTAACTAATGATGATTTCCTTTGCTTACAGCGGCAATATCTATTATGAAATGCGTGAGCTAGACAAGGACAAGAAGGCAAAAGCATGCCCTTTTACAGGGTTGAATGTAACATCAAACACATTTTGCACCGGGTAAGGGCAACATTTTCTTGAAGAAACGAAATCACTATAAGAAAAACGAAGCTGTAAACTTGTTTGTCACGGGTGGGACATTAGAAGCTGTAGATCCTGTAATACTATAATTGAAATGCTTAATTTTCATATCATATTGGTCCTTTGCGACAAGGGAAGATCGAGACACACACACAACTTCAAAAAAAATAAATAAATAAAAAATTTGTAGAAACTT